AAAAAAAAAAAGAAGTCATGGGAGTTCAACACAGAGGATTCCAGGAAACTTAAGTGAGTGAGGTTTTGTCACCCAAGGCCTCAGTGCACCAGCAGTGGAGGGGGGCAACAGAGAGCAAAGGACCCAGCGAAAGGAACAGCCATGGCCAGTAGACATAGTGGGACCCAGGGGAGAAGACAGGGGTGGGGCTCAGTGGCAGAGGACTAGCATGAAGCCCCCACATCTGCTTCCTGGACTTGTTTCTGAGTACAGGTTGAGTCAGGTCAGGCCCTCCCTCAAATAATTGGGGTTCTGTATGAATAAGTGGAACAAGGTCCCATAATGCTGAGTTCAGTGTTACTGGATCATTGCTTCCCCACAACCTCCCTGTAAGGCAAATATTTTCCCCATGAAAAGACTGAGTCTTAAGCAACTGCATCTGTAATGATTGCCAGTTTTATTCCTCTGGCAAAGAAATCCAGAGGTAACTTGAGGTTTACATTTCCTTTTTATAGTTGTTTCATCAAGAGTTTAGGTGCCCCCATTGCCCTTACAAGCTAGTTGCAAACTATTTTTGATCAACTATTACTTATTAAAAAAATCTTCAATTCTTTGTGTGTGTGAAAGGTATTCATTAAAAAATACATATAATCAAAAAGCAAAACAAAAACAAAACTTCACACCACACAGGAATAAGCACAGTTAAGTTTGAGATATGTATGTATGTATACACACACAAAATTTGGAATTGTATCCTACATATGTGAGCTGATACTAAATATGCTGCTTTGTAACCTGTTACGTTTTTACTGTACATACAGAATGAACATATTTCCATGCATATGTGTGAAACTTTCCAATTGAAAAATAAACCTGGAAAGTAGGTCAAAATCCAAAATCCAATGAAATGCTGATAACAAAGAAACTACCTAAAACAATACCACCATGTAATTAAAAGTAAAATGAAAGTCAAAGATACATCATAAAATGCTAACATAAAGAAAGCAGGGGCTTGATTTTAATATCAGACAAAAAGGAATTCAAGGCCTGAAACACACAGGATAAGGGCGGCTGCGTGAATGTCTTTGTTTCCAATGCATCATCACGAACTTATTTCTTACTCTTCTGATCTCTTCCCTAAGCCTTTCCAACTCATCTACTCCTCTAATCATTTCTTCAGGGTCCAAATGCCTAACAGGTGTGTCCTCTTTAAATCCTTGGCCAGGTTGTGCAGGCCCTCCTCTAAGGTTTCCTTCTGCTTCCTGGCTTACACCTTCTTGGGAAGGTTGAGGGTTTCCTTCTGTTTCCTGTGGTACATCTTCGGAAGGATGGTCTTCTTCTGCCTTTGGCATGTTCTGTTTTCCTTCATTTTCTTCACAAGACTTTTGCATGTTGATTTTTTTTTATTATTTCCTTTTGGAATAAATTAATCCTAGGGAAAAAAAGGATACAAAACGACTAGGTGCCAAGCAAACAGACACAGTTTGTGTTCCCATAGTGACTGGCTTTTCTCATTCAGGTCCCTAATTTTCAAAAAAGTTTTCCAACTAGACAGGGCAAGATCTTCGGGCTCAACTCCCATGACTCCACCTCTTCCTCCACCTCCCTTCCCTCCGCTTTGGCTCTGGCTCCAGCTCCATCTAAGCTCCAGGAGCTCCAGCCCACCATTTTCCCAGCAGGCCCTGCTTCAAGCCTCACCCAGCACCGAAAAGGGAGCAGCGCCAAAGCAATTAACCCTTCCCTCACCTCTGGTCTCCCACACTCCCGCCCTTTCAGGCTTTCCCAAATCATCCCAATCTGCAGCGTCTCACCTGAGGTAGTCCAGTGTCTGGCCTCCCCTCCCCACTTGCATGCCTCTTTAGTCTCCCCCACTCCCCCCGCCCCATTTCCGCTGCAGGCTCTGCTCAGGCCTCCAGAGCTCAGTCCGGATGGGGAGAGGCTGCGGCGACCCCGGGATGTGCTTTGGTGTCATCCACACTTCCACCCCCACCCAAAGGGACCTGAAGCAATTACACCCTTCCACTGACCTGCAGGGATCCAGGAGATTCTCCTTCCTCTTCCGTCACCTCAATTTCTGTCGCGCTCCAAAGACCAAGAATCCTGTAGACAAACGGGAGTACTTGGTGAAGAAACCAGTACATGGATCAAAGGGTCCCTTTTATGATTATAGATTTTGCTTGTCTGAAGTTTCCCATGCCCTCATCAGCTCCCTCCTTTTATGACAAACCCGCCCTCCACCGTGCCCACCTTTCCCTGCAAGCCAGCTGGGAGTGAAAGAAGCAAGTTTTTCTACATTGTTTCTATGCCCGCCCCCCTCTCTCGGGACCCTCAATTAGCTACACTTCTCTCTTTCCACCTCTCAGCTACCACCCCCCACCCAAGATTTCCTGCACAAAATGGGAGTTTTGTAGGAACACCAGAGTAGGGTAAGCAGTGAAGGCTTCGCTTGCATTCTGCTCTCTACCTCCTCTACCCCACGATCTCAAGTCAGCGCCCACATTTATACTACCTGAAAGGATCCGGGGCACTTTTCTCCTTCTCCAGCAGAAGCGAGCTGCTTCGGAGAAACGGGGCCTGGACTGTAAGGACTTCTGCACACGTCGACTCTCTGTCACGTGAGTGCCACGTCATCAATAAGCTCGGGTCCTCAGTTACCCCTCCCATTGACACTGAAGCCCGCCCCTACATTCCGTCTACTTGATAATGTCAGTCTTTCCCCCTATTTACCAATCAGAGACAATAAAACTGGTATCTTCACCCTGGAGTATCTATTCCCCTTTTTCGGATTACCAGGGAAGATCCGCCTTTTACAGTTAATTGACCATTTCTCCTGCTTTAGGGAATCCATCTCTCTTTCTCTCCGGCTCCAGGGAATTATGTCTTTCTCTCTCCAGCTCCCTAAATGCCCACCTTCTCTCCCCTAAGGCACTATAGTCTGTATTCCCTGGAATCTCAGCCAGCATTAAAATGAGTGAAGGTGGTAGATAAGGGGTACTGAGGCTGGAAAAGAATTTAGGGGTGAGAGTGTGAGATTTTACTAGCCCCTTTGAATATTTTTATGGTGTGTTCTGTTTTAAGCAATCAGCATATTTTAAAAATTGTATTTAAAAACAATACCTCATACGCAATATCTAACACAATATGGAGAATTTAATTCAATAAGTCTTTTTATACCTCTGTTTTTATTTATTTATATGTGGTGCTGAGGATTGAACCCAGGGCCTCCCACACACTAGGCGATTGCTCTTCCGCTGAGCCACAAGCCAGCCCCACTTCAATCAATCTTTAAAACTACAAAAAGAGTTTTCTAATGGCTACAAATTAAATGATAGCATTTACAACATAGTGAGGTGTTAGAACTCTTAAAAATCCTACTAAAAGAGCATCTTTTAAAAATTGACTCCCAAATTAATCTGTGGAAGGAGACCTTGTTTTATCTTGTTAGCAACTTAATGTAGGTAATCCACTACTTTCTATTTCTGGCTGAAATCAAGTTCTCAACTGTTAAGTGTCTGAACTTTCCATTGATGACTTCTGGGAGCTTCCACTTATGTTTTTCATATGAAAGCTTCAGACAGGCCTCCTCTCCTCCTGTCCTCTGTAGGATCCAATGCCTTTGATAATTAGATAAGGCCACTGCTCATCTTAGCCTCCTTCCTACTGAATGAACTTTTTTTGGAACTCAAATGTTTGTTGGAGAAAATGCTGTTGTTGAAAAAGAAATGTTTGTAGGCAAATAACTCTCATAGTGAAACATTGAGAAAGGAGAGAGTTCCCTATATCTCAACATTGATTCTGAGGCTGTTAAACCACTGGAAATTTTATTTATTCATTCATTGATCTCTTGAGATACTCTGATATTATTCACTGTGCTCTGTTTTAAAAAAGAACTATCAACATGCGTCATTGTTATGATAAGAAAGCAGAGATAACATCATTGCTGTAAAAAAATAGTTTTTGTTCAAAGAAGAAATCAATTTCCCTGCAATCCAGAATTCATTGGTACCTGGAGATGTGGTGGTGCCTCAAATGACAATCTGATCAAAGAGCCAGCTGGAGACCCAAGAGGAGGGTGGGGTGGTCTCTTGTCTTGGGTGATCAGAGCAGGGTACCTCAGCCAAAAATACAACCCACCAAGGAGAACTAAAACATTAGAAAAATAAATATTTTGCTGGATTAATGTTTTATAATTTACATTTAAGCATGAAGAATTTATTGCACAATTGAAAGATAAAATTTCTATTATTTGATGGAGAGTTTTTAATATAAGCACATCCCCAATGACCCACTTCCTCCAGCTTTACCCTACCTGTCTAAAGTAAATCCCTATCAGTGAATTAATGCATTTCTTAGGTTGAGGTTCTTACCACCCAATCATTTCAACTTTAAACTTTCTTGCATTGTCTTGCACATAATATTAAGCGTTTGGAGGACACCTAATATATAAACAATAACTGTAGGTTTGGACTATTTAGAATAGCCATTGGCCATATCCAGGTGAATGATCTTAAAAAATCACTTCTGTAATACTTATTATCTCTTCCATATAATTCTTCCCACTGTCTAAACTCCCAGCTGAATGATTCACACATTGTGGATGATTGTGGCAAGGACTTTCTAGTCATTCAGGGCATAATGCTTAAGAATTACTGTGAACCTGAAGTGCTATCTCATAATCACTGCAGTTTCAAATGTCCATGAATTGATCTGCTTAGACTTTTAATATGTAATCTTATGCTCAAGATCCACCTCAGCCACATTCTATATATTTATTTTTAAAAGTCTTGAGATTGCTTTGCTTAAAGTTTGAGATCCTATTCTACATACAGAGTCTTGCTGAGTTAATAGGAAGCATGCCTCAGCTATGCCATACTTGGGCCAGGCAACTTTTTCCTGTGACAGAAGCATATATGAGGGAGAAAGAGCATGGTTGCTGTGGATTGAGTGCTTTTAAAGAGTTATATTTATATCAGAAAGAAAGCCGCTTGATTCTGCTTTAGCTCCCCATGACCCATGATCTTTTAGACCCTATGTTTACAAATCCTAACACCTTCACTTTATTTTATTGGCTTCCTACTTTGTATCCCTCACTAGACTGGAAGTGCCATAAGTACAAAAATCACGTGTGGTTCAACTTTGTGATATTTGAATGTCAAGATGGTGGAGATAATTAAAATTTCCATTAATATGGGAATAGTTAAATAAATTATCCATACTGTGAAAATTTTTCAGATTATAAAATAAAATGAAATAGTGGGCATATAGTGAAATGGAATTATATTAAAGCTATATTTTTGAGTGAAAACATTGCTTAGAGAATGGTTCCAACACACATATAACACACAATCAGACACAAACACACACACACACACACATACACACACAACTAGTTTAAGTAGTTTCAATTTTTCTGGTATAAACATAGATTAATTTTATATTTTCTAATAATGACTGTCAACTGTGTTCTGACAAGTCTCCCCTTTCTCACTGAATAACGGATTCATTTAGTGACATTTCAGTTTGTTACCTCAACTGGTTAGTCATTTTCATTCATTAAGAGAGTTTTATTTGGGGTTCTTAAAACCCAGGCTTGTCTATTTTTTAAACTTTTTATTTTGAAATAATTTTAGTTTTAAGGAACAGCAGTTTACATTATACCCCATACCTAGCTTTGCCTAATAATTATGATACATTTATAAAAACTAAGAAATTGATATTTGTGCAATGCCATTAACTAAATATCTTATTCTGTTCTAGGATTCAATCTAGCATACAATGTTGCATTTATTTAGCATGTTTTTTTTAGTTTTCTCTACTTCCAGGCTTTTCTTGTTTTCTATTCCTTTGATACATTTTAAGAGTGAAGTATTATATACATTGTCCCTCAATTTAGGTTTTCTGATGTTTTCTCATGATTAGATTAGGAGAACACCAGAGAGTGAAATGTCCTTTTTTATAATAAGGTCAGAGTTCTATGATATGTTACACAACTTAGCAGTGGTGATGTTAACTTTGATCACTTAGTTAATGTTATCTGTTGGATTTCTCCACTTTTCAAGTTACTTTTCACATTCCCTTGTTCATACTCTATTTGTTAGAAGCAAGTTTCTACCCATACTGGAGCAGAGGAAAATTAAAATCTGACTCCTAGAAGGAGGAGTAGCAAATAATTTATGGGTATGTTTGAAACAATCACAACCATAATAATTACAAAAAATATATTTGGGAGCAGGTAATTTGAGACTATGCAAATATCCTCAGGATTTTCCTGCAGCAGTTACTTCTGTAGTGTCTTAATGGTGCTTTTTAATATTCCCTGTCCTTCTACATTTAATATTCAAAATATTTCTATAAAGAAGGTTTTTCCTTATGAAAGTTCTTAAGTACCTAATTTATATATTGATATGATTATTTGTTTCTATCAGTATGATTCATGTATCTTTAATTCTTTGGGTTATAACCTAACACTAGCATTATTTGTTGTTATTCGTCAAATTGTTACAGCTTTAGCATTCAGAGCTCTTTCAGATTCCCATCCCTTTTCTGTTTCCTTGTTTTCTGGCACTACAAAATGTTTCATCTTGTCCTCATATTTTCCTTTTCCCAGTGTTGTAAGTAGCCATTTCTCCAGACAGTCCTGATTATTTTTATCAAATAATTATATTTAGTAATTAATATCTGGGCGCTGAGTGTGTTGGTTGTTACTGTGTGTCATTGATTCTAGCAGTTCTCAAAAGCTGCAGCAAGGAGATGCCTGCCTGTATGTATACTAAACTGTATATACACACATACCTGAATTGATTTTATATACACATATGCATGAGTTCTTACTGACACATTAACTCAAATCCATCACCACAGGTATTCATTTAGTTTCTTACCTCTTGCTCATTTTAGCTTCTACCTCTGATAATAAGAAACTTGGTTCTCAATATCTAATTTATTTACTTACTTCTAATAGTTTAATAAGTAGTTTAAGTTTAAATAGTTTAAGTATGGTGAGCATTTACTCCCTTGAGAAACCACTTGGCACTCTTCCCCACTCCTACTCCCAATAGTCTTTTTTACATTTATATATATCAGCCTTTTCATAATATCATATAAAAGTAATCATAAAATACTTGTCCTTTTGAGTCTGGCTTCTTTCACTTAGAAAATTACATTTGAGATGCATACAAGATGCAATGTTTGTTCATTTAGTTACTGAGTAGTGTTCCACTCTTAAACATGGACCAGAGTTTGTTTATAGAACATCTGGAATGTTTCCATTTTGGGACAATTATGAAAAAAACTGCTGTAAACACTTCTGTATAGGTTTTGTGTAAACTTAAGTTTTACATTCACTTGGGTAAATAAATAAGATAGCTGGGTTGCATGTTAATTGTATATTTAACTTTATAAGAAATTGCCAAAATATCCACAAAGCTGACTGGGATATTTTGCATTTCCACAAATCATGAATTAGAATTCCTTTTACTCCACAATCTCACCAGCATTTATTGTTGCTTCATTTTGGGTTTTTGTTTGTTCATTTTATGCCATTCTACTTAGTGTGGAGTAGCATCCAATTGTGGTTGTAATTTGTATTTCTCTCATTACTAATGATGATGTGTATCTTTTCATGTGCTTATTTATTGTCTGCATATATTTTCTGATGAAA